GCTCTCTGGTAACCTAGCAACGTAGGGAGTGACAAGCTCAGGCAATCATGTAACGTGTCAGTTTGGTTGCGCCATAGACATATTTATTATGTCTATGGGTTGCGCCATCAAAAAAAAGAAAAAAAGTTTGGTTGCGCCATCGTTGTCTCGTGCTGCTGGGTTCCTCATTGATAAGCAGAAAATGAGTGCCCTTCATCTGCATGCCATGCAGGCTAGAATTGCGAAACATTATTGGATAATTCGCTCTATTCGCGTTTGATGTGAACACAGCATAATGAACAGGCTGCGATGTCAAGATTGCAATGCTGGAGTGTGTGTGTGTCCGCGCGCGCGAGAGAGAGAGGCACGAGAGAGAGAGACACGCGGGCGCGATCGAACAGTGGAGACATAAAAACATACTCCGTCATTTTGTTAATACAGGACATCAGTCAGTCTGCAAAGTGTTTACAATATTTGTGTAGGCCTATACTCGCAATAAAACACAACATTGTCCTTTTGTCACACTGTATTTCTTGTCAAACTGTAGCCTACAACTGTACACACCGTTTTAAAAGCAAAACATATTTATCCAACCCCTTTGTAAAACAGTCTGTGTGTTCCATCTTTTGAACATTCATCATTTCGCATTGGTTTTCATTTCTTGCCCTCAAAACAGAGCACTAATCTGTTTATTTTTAAGTTACACATTGATTAAAAAAGAAAATTAAATTTGTTGGTAGTATTATTTTAAACGGAAATCAATTATTTATAATTCTGATGAGAATAAAGTTAGGGTTAATTAAAATTAAGGAAAACAAATATATTGATCTGAAATATAGCAAATTAATTTTAAATTCATTCAGGTACAATTACCAAACATATCTCATATCTATCTTTTTATTAGTTTAATTAATAAACCAATTATATAAAACTATTATCAGTGCACTATAAATAAACTGGTTCTATGCCTTTATTAATAAAACTTATTTAAAAAATACAAGGCTTAAGACATTTATAAAAATGCCTTCTATATTTCTGTTTTGCTTTTCACTCCATTGTACCGAAATCGTACCGAACCGTGATGTCTAAAAAAAAAAATCAAGCAGGGGGCACGTACGATCACAAACCCCCACCTCCCACGTCCCGCCGCGCCACTGTCACCTTTTTTACTCTGAGGAGTTTGCAGGTCTGATTGTGAATTTAGACTTATGTTTACATTTTAATTATTTGAGTTTTCCATGGTTGTGTTGACATTTCTGTCTTGGGATTGTAATCAGAGGAAGGTTAAGTTTAAAATAAAAATGTTTAAATGTAATATATTTTTTCTCCTGGTCCTTATTTTAAATGGGTCATAAAAAAATCAATAATTATCGATATCGACCGATATGAAACACTGATATCGTGATACAGTTTTCAGCCATATCGCCCAGCCCTACTTCAAAGGTTCGGGATCGGTAAGATTTTTAATGTTTTTAAAAGAAGTCTCTTCTGCTCACCAAGGCTGCATTTATTTGATTAAAAATAGAAAAATACAGTAATATTGTTAAATATTATGACAATTTATTACAACAGTTTTCTATATTTTAAAATGTAATTTGTTCCTGTGATTAAAGCTGAATTTTCAGCATCATTACTCCAGTCTTCAGTGTCACATGATCCTTCAGAAATCACTCTAATATGATGAGTTGATGCTAAAAAAAAACATTAATTATTATTATCAATGTTGAAAACAGTTGTGTACAATTTTATTTCAGGATTCTTTGATGAATAGAAAGTTCAAAAGAACAGCATTTATTTTATAAAAGTCTTTACTGTAACGTTTGATCAATTTAATTCATCATTGATGAATAAAAGTATTGATTTATTTTATTTATTTCCCCCCAAAAATCCAATAATATTTTTTACTGAAACCCCAAACTTTTGAACGGTAGTGTTTAATGTTACAAAAGCTTTATATTTCAGATAAATGCTGTTCTTTTGAGCTTTTTATCCATCAAATTGTACACAACATTGATAATAATAATGAATGTTTTTTTAGCATCAAATCATCATATTAGAGTGATTTCTGAAGGATCATGTGACACTGAAGACTGGAGTAATGATGCTGAAAATTCAGGTGTGATCACAGGAATAAATTACAGTTTAAAATATATCAAAATAGAAAACAGCTGTTTTAAATTGTAATAATATTTCACAATATTACTGTTTTTACTGTATTTTTAATCAAATAAATGCAGCCTTGGTGAGCAGAAGAGACTTCTTTTAAAAAACATAAAAAAATCTTACCGATCCCAAACTTTGTAGAGTGGTACATCTTCCGACTGACCGGATGAATCGTCTCCACTAACGCTCTCTCTCTCTCTCTCTCTCTCTCTCTCTCTCTCTCTCTCTCTCTCTCTCTCTCTCTCTCTCTCTCTCTCTCTCTCTCTCTCTCTCTCTCTCTCTCTCTCTCTCTCTCTCTCTCTCTCTCTCTCTCTCTCTCTCTCTTCAGATACGAGGTCGCGCCGCGCTCGGACAGCGAGGATTCTGGGTCGGAGGAGGACGAGGTGCCTTCAGCTACTTTCTGACGGTACAAGTTTGATTAACCTGACAGCACAAGATGTGTTAAATATGTTCTCCCTGTCAGGAAGAGGAAGAGGAACCTCCCCAGCTTCTGCCCTCTCAGACTCCAGGAGAGGAGAAGAAGAAGATCCCCGACCCCGACAGCGAGGACGTGTCCGAGGTCGACGTGCGTCACATCATAGAGTACGACAAACACTCACTTCTCACGCAGCTGAGGCGTAACTGTTAGGATATATCCACCGCCATATCGGTATCGGCCGATTAACATTTGTTTTATATTATCATTATCATTATATTATCATTATGATAAATTATCTGATGAATTGTAGTTTTAAAATAAAAGCAGTTTTCCACTGTATTTATTTAACTTTTGTTAAAATCGATATATTAAAGCTGATAAATTAGCTGATTATTTATCGCCCATTATATCGGTTATCGGCTTCCAAAATATAAAGAATTATCGGTTAATCGGTATCAGCTGATAAATGTTCATATTTAATGTTATCGTTATCGGTCCAATGAGAAAATTAGGTTGATGTATTAAAGCTGATAAATTGAAATTTATTTGTTTTCTGCAGTTTTCTAAAAGCAGTTTTTCATTTTATTTGTTTCCCTTTTGTTTTTGTAATCAGGCTCAGAAAAATGTATATCAAGATTTAGATTTATCGAACAATATATCGGTTATCGGCCTCCAAATATAAAGAGTTATTTGTATCTGCCGATAATTTTAATGTTATCGTTATCGGTTCAGATGAGAAAATTAGGGTGATATTTTAAAGCTGATCAATTGTGGATTATTTCCTCCTGTTCAACCACTTCAAATGGAGGCTTTTGATTGGTGCTCTCCGCAACAGCAAATTATGCGTGCTTTAGAAGAGTTTATGTACAATATCGGATTTCACAGTGAAAAAAGACATCAGAATTGCAATTTGCCATAGGGATGTAAAATTAATTTTAAAAGTTAAGGAGTCTTTAACTGATATAAAGTAGGCTTCTTTTAGTAAGTGACTTTAGGGAATTAAAGATCTAGATGGGGTTTCTTTGCAGTTTCTTTGTTGTATCCAGTTGAGGTTTTAAAAAAACTAAACCTTTTGTTTTTGTAAGGCTCAAAAAAATTTACATCAAAATTTTGATTTATCGGGCAATGTATTGGTTATCGGCTCCCAAATTTAAAGAAATATCGGTTATCGGTATTGGCCAAAATATACACTCACCGGCCACTTTATTAGGTACCCCATGCTAGTAACGGGTTGGACCCCCTTTTGCCTTCAGAACTGCCTCAATTCTTCGTGGCATAGATTCAACAAGGTGCTGGAAGCATTCCTCAGGGAGTTTGGTCCATATTGACATGATGGCATCACACAGTTGCCGCAGATTTGTCGGCTGCACATCCATGATGCGAATCTCCCGTTCCACCACATCCCAAAGATGCTCTATTGGGTTGAGATCTGGTGACTGTGGAGGCCATTTTAGTACAGTGAACTCATTGTCATGTTCAAGAAACCAATTTGAAATGATTAGAGCTTTGTGACATGGTGGAAGTAGCCATCAGAGGATGGGTACATGGTGGCCATAAAGGGATGGACATGGTCAGAAACAATGCTCAGGTAGGCCGTGGCATTTAAACGATGCCCAATTGGCACTAAGGGGCCTAAAGTGTGCCAGGAAAACATCCCCCCACACCATTACACCACCACCACCAGCCTGCACAGTGGTAACAAGGCATGATGGTTCCATGTTCTCATTCTGTTTACGCCAAATTCTGACTCTAACATCTGAATGTCTCAACAGAAATCGAGACTCATCAGACCAGGCAACATTTTTCCAGTCTTCAACTGTTCAATTTTGGTGAGCTCTTGCAAATTGTAGCCTCTTTTTCCTATTTGTAGTGGAGATGAGTGGTACCCGGTGGAGTCTTCTGCTGTTGTAGCCCATCCGCCTCAAGGTTGTGTGTGTTGTGGCTTCACAAATGCTTTGCTGCATACCTCGGTTGTAACGAGTGGTTATTTCAGTCACTGTTGCCCTTCTATCAGCTCGAACCAGTCTGGCCATTCTCCTCTGACCTCTGGCATCAACAAGGCATTTCCGCCCACAGAACTGCCGCTCACTGGATGTTTTTTCTTTTTCGGACCATTCTCTGTAAACCCTAGAGATGGTTGTGCGTGAAAATCCCAGTAGATTAGCAGTTTCTGAAATACTCAGACCAGCCCTTCTGGCACCAACAATCATGCCACGTTCAAAGTCACTCAAATCAACTTTCTTCCCCATACTGATGCTCGGTTTGAACTGCAGGAGATTGTCTTGACCATGTCTACATGCCTAAATGCACTGAGTTGCCGCCATGTGATTGGCTGCTTAGAAATTAAGTGTTAACGAGCAGTTGGACAGGTGTACCTAATAAAGTGGCCGGTGAGTGTATGTGCATTACTAGTTACAGTGATCTTCAGTGTTTACAGGCCATTTATAAGATCTCAATGCTGCTATTTCAACCTGTGTGTGTGTGTTTGCAGACATGCTAAACAGGACGTGGATGATGAGTACGGTAGCGCTGCGTTCGCGCGCGGGTTACAGTCGTATTACGCCGTGGCTCACGCTGTTACCGAGCGTGTGGACAAACAGTCGTCTCTGCTGATCAACGGTCAACTCAAGCAATACCAGGTCATTCAGCACTTTACCAGACATTCAACATCAACACTTTACCAGACATTCAACATCAACACTTTACCAGACATTCAACATCAACACTTTACCAGACATTCAACATCAACACTTTACCAGACATTCAACATCAACACTTTACCAGACATTCAACATCAACACTTTACCAGACATTCAACATCAACACTTTCAGTATTAGTGGTCATCTGATCTAGATGTTTCAGTGGCCGATATCATAGAGCAGCCGATCGATAGATTCACACACAAACACATACAACTGTACAATGGTTTTTATACTGTACAAACTGTATATTCTGTCCCCTTACACTAACCCTAAACCTCCCATCACACACACACACTCACACACACACATTCACTCACTCACACACACACACACACACACTCACAGTCACACACACACACACAGTCACACACACAAGATTAATATTGCTGCTTTGACTGTGTGTGTGCAGATCAAGGGTTTGGAGTGGCTGGTGTCTCTGTATAACAATAATCTGAACGGGATCCTGGCGGATGAGATGGGTTTGGGCAAAACCATCCAAACCATCGCGCTCATCACATACCTGATGGAGAACAAGCGCCTGAACGGACCCTACCTCATCATCGTGCCGCTCTCGTCAGTCGCTCTTCACTTCTCACACACATATCTCACAGCACACACTGTCTGTTTTCATCAACACTGTGTTTCTCTGGCAGAACTCTGTCCAACTGGGTCTATGAGTTTGATAAATGGGCGCCGTCTGTCGTCAAAGTCTCGTACAAGGTAAGCGACTCTTTCCAAGAACATTTGTGATGAACGCTGATGGATGACAGATGTCCAGTAAATATGAATCAGTGTTGGGGAGTAACTAAACTCTACTTTCTCTACTTGGCTGCGTTTCACTTCTGCTCTACCTCGTCAAGTCACATTAATTTAAATAGCGCTTGATTAAATAGAGTTTCAAAGTGGTTTCACACATTAATAAAAGGAAAATAATGATCAATGATGCAAACTTCATCAAATATGAGACTAATTTAATTTGTGAAGACAATAGAGTCACTATATAATCTACAGTATTAAGGAAGTAACTAGTCAGTTTCATGATTACTTTAAAGTCGTCATGAAAGTGAAGTCACAGTAGTGTTTCCTCCTCTATTGTGTCGTATATCGAGTGAAACGCTTCAGGAACAAGAACAAATGTGGGTGGGGCTTGAGTGTGTCTGTGGGGAATTGATTGGATGTTTGTGGTTTGCTATTGGCTGATCTCATGTGAGTGACAGGTTATAGCCCCGCCCTTGTCATCAGAGAAGAGAATGAGCCGCAAGAGGAAGTTATTCTCATTCATTATGAGGAAAAAATAACAATGTGCACCGATAAATCAATTATAATAAACACTGCAATATTCCATAAAAAATAAGAATAATACATTTTGATTACATGGTGACTACGCGGCTTCAATGTAGTTGACACTTTATGAAGCGGGCACCTCCTCTGATGTCGTTTCCTCCCGAACACTGATGAGTGTCTCGTGGCTCGTTGATTGGCTTGTGATCATGTGATGTGTGTTCAGGGATCTCCCGCTGCTAGAAGAGCCTTCGTACCACAGCTACGCAGCGGCAAGTTCAACGTGCTGCTCACTACTTACGAATACATCATCAAAGACAAGCAGGTGCTGGCCAAGGTAAGGCCCGCGGGGTGTGTGTGTGTGTGTGCGAAGCTGCCTCCTTGTCATTTCTGACTTGTAACAAAAAACAAAACAATGTCTGAAAGCCGCTATGTGACGGTGTGTACAGCAAACAAGCTAAAAAAACCAGAACTAAGTCAAGTCACCTTCATTTATAAAGCGCCTTTAACAATACGGACTGTTTCAAAGCAACTTAACTGCAAAAAATGCTTTTTTTACTTAGTATTTTTGTCTTGTTTCCAGTCCAAATATCTAAAAATTCTTAAATCAAGATGCATTTAATAAAGTAGTAAAATGCCCTTAAAATATTATTTCTTGTTTTCTGGGGAAGTGTATAAAAATTAAGTGAGTTGTTGCTTAAAAAGACCAAAATTATCTGCCAATGGGGTAAGAAAACAATCTTAATTCAAACAGAAACAAAAAAATCTTTTTTTATCCCATTGGCAGATCATTTTGCTTGTTTTAAGCAACAACTCACTTAATTTTTATACACTTCCCCAGAAAACAAGAAATAATATTTTATGGCATTTTACTACTTTATTAAATGCATCTTGATTTAAGAATTTTTGGATATTTGGACTGGAAACAAGACAAAAATACAAAGTAAGAAAAGCATTTTTTGCAGTAAAGCTGCTTTGAAACAGTCCGTATTGTTAAAGGCGCTGTATAAATGAAGGTGACTTGACTTAGTTCAGGTTTTTTTAGCTTGTTTGCTGTACACCCTGTCACATAGCGGCTTACAGAAAAGACTGGAAACGACAAAAATACTAAGTAAGAAAAGCATTTTTTGCAGTGATAACAGGAGATTACAGTAACAGAGATTGTTTAGATTTTACAGCAGCTCTAGAATAAAGTTATTGTCCAGCTAAAGTTAGTTTTGATTGATTCACTTCCGTTGCAAAGATCATTAGTGATTAACTTAGGGGCCGCTAACACGACAGAAAACCCTAATGCGCTCCGGACGCTCATTCACACAACAGTGTTTGGGGATCGAGAACACAAACCTTGAAATAGTTTCCAAGGTGCAAGCGCTGCATAATTTTGAAAAACGTCGTCATCTCCGTGTAAACTTCAAAAACGTGAATCTGTGAAAACGCTGACGGCGTGCACATGCGTATTACGTGTTTAGTCTATAAATATGCATGTTTGAATATATATGTGCGCAGGCGAACTGCAATCATTTTAACAGCGTTTTATCTGTACAGCGGAGAAGGGAAGGAGGTCCTCACAGGGGGAGACTAGTTATGGCAAGCCGTTTTAACTTTTATTTATTTCCAGGATATGAATTGTTGATATCAACAATTACATTTTTGATATCAACAATTCAATTCTTGATATCAACAATTGTATTTTCACTAGTGAAATGTCACCATAGGCTGCCATTCAAAATCAATTGTTGATATCAAGAATTGATTTCTTACTAGTAGAAATATAATTTTTGATATCAATAATTACATTGTTACTAGTAAAAATGCGAATTCCTGATATCAATAATTAAATTATCACTAGTCTAAATGTCTATTCTTGATATCAACAACTGAATTGCTACTAGGAAAATTTTTCATTTTTGATATCTGAAAATGTATTTCTGATATCAATATTATTTCAGATATCTAAAATGGCTTTCTTACTAGTAACAATCACATTCATGATATCAGAAATTAACATTGTCACTAGTGAAAATTGAATTATTGATATCAAAAATGAACATTGTTACTAGTAGCAATTCAATTGTTGATATCAAGAATAGACATTTCAACTAGTGACAATTGAATTCTTGATATCAGAAATAAAGGTTTTTACTAGTAAGAATTGTATTTGTGAAATGTGAAATTGGAATTTCAACTAGTAAGAAATAAATTCTTGATATCAATAATTGATTTTGGATGGCAGCCTATGGTGACATTTCACTAGTGAAAATACAATTACAGATATCAAGAATTATAGTTTTTACTAGTTGCAATTCAATTGTTGATATCAAGAATTATCATTTTAACTAGTGAAAATGTAAATGTTGATGTCAAGAATTAGCATTGTTACTAGTGAAAATGTGATTCCTGATATCAAAAATTGCCATTGTTACTAGTAGAAATATTATTCCTGATATCAATAATTATAATTTTAACTAGTGAAAACTGAATTGTTGATATCAAGTATTCATATCCTGGAAATGAATAAAAGTTAAAACGGCTTGCCATAGACTAGTGACACTTCAGATAAGTTTTCAATAAGTTTTTATAAGCTGTCGACCCCAAAAACTGAGCGTTTAAGGAGACATAAGTGTATACAGGCAATAAGACGTGAAGCATCAGCTGGAAGAATGGGTAAATTGTGGGATCCTGACACTCGGTATGCACTAAAAATACACTACGTGTGCGGTACACATAACGTCACTGGTAAGTCAAATGTCCAAATGTCAGTTTTATATATTATATTTCTGTAAGCTAAGCTATCCTGTCGCCGCTTTCGTTCCCCTATACAGATTCGCTGGAAGTACATGATCGTGGATGAAGGTCACCGCATGAAGAACCACCACTGTAAGCTGACGCAGGTGTTGAACACACACTATCTGGCGCCGCGGCGTGTGTTGCTGACCGGGACGCCGCTACAGAACAAGCTCCCCGAGCTCTGGGCGCTGCTCAACTTCCTGCTGCCCACCATCTTCAAGAGCTGCAGCACGTTTGAGCAGTGGTTCAACGCTCCCTTCGCCATGACCGGAGAGAAGGTCTGTTTAGACTACACTCATCCTTCCCTCGGGTCCTTTTGACCCGGATTGTTTTTTGTTTTTTTTGTGTTCATTGGAGGGGTCCGAGACCTCGTGACTTTAGTCGCACTTAAACCACGCACAAATACACAAACAAATTTTGGAATGTATTTTGTGGTTGAAATTTAAAAAAGTGACACATCCTTCACTCGCGGGTCAATTTGACCCCCTTAGGAATGAATGGAATGCGAGGAATGCTTCAGGACACATAGAAAAACCTAAAAATGCTCAAATTTCAAGCTAAAAATGTATAATGTCTACATGTGTATCTGAATGCATACTGAAGAGAAACTGACTTTAGGACCCAGCGGAACAGCTCATGCTCCATATAGAGCTATAAGGCCATCTAGTGGTCATGTTATATTATTATTTTTCCTCAAGAGGTCGGCAAAGACACCCAATGTAAGATATTTTGAGCTGAATTAAAAGATTTATGCATGAAATTGAGAATTATTTTGAATTTAAGTTGAATGTGCTTAAATTACTATTTATTGATTATTTATTGATTAAATCTAGTAATTTAATCAATAATTTTAAATTATAATAATATCAATAATTAAATTATCACTAGTCTAAATGTCTATTCTTGATATCAACAACTGAATTGCTACTAGTAAAATAAAAGGTAAATTAAAAAAAAGGTAAATAAAAAAAAAGAAAATCTCCAAAAAAATAAAAAAAATATTATCAAAATGAAATAAAATAAGCTTTCTGGACAAAAAAAGAAAAAAGAAAAAAGTATAATTTTAGGGCTTCGGGTCATTTTGACCCACAAGGGAAGGATTTGTTCCAGGACGCCAGGGTCGCTAATTGTGTTTTGGAGTTTCCTAAAATAGGTTTAAATGCATACCCAAAAAGCTTAAAAACACGTTAGTTTCCTCATAATCTCCACTGCGGCATCAGCTCTTTTCTCTCAGTGTCTGAAACGCTTCGATCGAAGATTCAGGGTGTATTCACACCTGCCTTGTTTGGTTCGATTGAATCGAACTCTAGTTCGTTTCCCCCCTTGGTGCGGACCTTTTGGGCAGGTGTGAATACAGCAATCGAACTCGGGTGCGGACCAAACAACCGAACCGAGACCCAGCTGAAGAGGTGGTCTCGGTACGGTTCCAAACGAACTCTGGTACGGTTCGTTTACGGTGTGAACATGAACCGACCCAATTGCAAGAAAGCACTGCGCCTTTGAGTTAACAGGCTTCCGTAGTCGGAGATTTTGGCATAATGGTTTGTGTTATTGTTTTTCAAGTGCGAAAGAGATTTCCATTCCGGCGCGCTGTCGGGCCACACGATACTGTTGCGCGTCTTTCTGCGCGTCGTGTGTGTAACGACAGTTAATACAAGGATGATGCTGCATTAAACTGGACAAAATTAATCGCAAGCGTTAACATTGACAGCACTTGTTAGCAGTAGCCTATATACAATAAGAATTTCATTATTTGAATGTGTGAACATAGCCCCTCTCTATGAATGAAAACTTTATACCTTATCCGTCTTCTGCGCAGTTTCTTCATATTGCGTTTGTACAGAATAACACAAAATTAGTCAAATAACAAATATTGCAGTACGAAATATCTCCATGCTGAGCCTTTTGTGCACTTCCTGATTTCCCTACTTGAGAATCCTTGTCCAATGAATGGACGACCTTAGCACACGTGTGGTTTTGTTGACAAATTTTGGTTCACTTGCAAAAAGAACAGTGTGAAAGCGAACCGTACCAAAAAAAAAAAAAAAAATTTATTTGGTCCGGATCAAAGCAAGTGAACTATCGGACTTTCCTGGTGTGAATACACCCTTAGTCTCTCTAAACCCCGCCTCTCTGAGAGCTGCTCTGCTCTGATTGGTCAGATGCCCTAGTCTGCTGTGATTGGTCGACCGCTTACAGCTAGAGTCGGAAACCAAATGACCATTAGCATATCTGAGTTTTAACCTATCTATTCCAGAATGATTCAAAGCAAAGTTGTGAAATGAATTTAAAGGCTCTGTTCACTGCTGGTATTAAGATGCGTTTGGTGGATCGGTTCACAAGCAGACGAGGGACACATTCCCGTTTACACCTGGTGTTTTAATCCGTCTCTTTCGTCCACTTTCACACACTTCTGTCCTGATTTCTTCAAGGGAGGGTCTATGGGCGGGAAAATGTGTGTCTTTCGATCTAATGGACGAATAAGCTCACGCAATTTACATATGAACACGACTGGAGACGACGGAAAAACACACAGAGCATCAGCTTTAGTTTCTGCTCCGACACACACAAGACCCGCCGAACGCTGTGAGTGTGTGTTAGAAATCAGGAATAGTGAGAGAACATTGTGCTTGGTATGTTTTTCATCTTCAAACCAAACTTGGGTCTCGATCCGACAGTTTAAATCCCGTCTGGTTAGCGCTCTTCCCATAATGTTAGCATTAGATCAGTAGTCGTTCTTTAGTGGCTGTACAAACACATTCGTCCACATGAGTGTTCACACTACGAAAGCAATCCGGTCTAATGCGTTTAAACTCCCTCTGGAAGTGGTGAAAGTGGACAAGCTCGAAGCGTTTTAGACCACAACGCTTCCTAACACCAGGTGTAAACACATCCTAAATGTAGCACAATGTTGTCATAAAGCAGGGGTGGGGAACGTCCGGCCCCCGGGCCGTAACCGGCCCGCAAAACAGTTTGATGCGGCCCGCGAGTCAAATCCTCCCAAAAAAAAAAAAAATGAACTTCAGAACCAAAAATCTCAGCCATTACTTTTCCTGTGACAGAAAACACAAAATAGGCAAAAGCGGCAAGCAGGGCGAGGCCAGTAGCGCGAGTCACCTGCGCACCGGTTTCAGTTTCTCACGGATGAGCTTCGGGGGCGCGCGCGCCGCACCGGTTTCAAGTTTCTCACTGATCAGCTTCGGGGCGCGTAAAAGGATCGGAACGAAGACAGCGGAGGACCAGGCATGGACTTTACTTTATGTGTGTGTGGTCGTCGTCCACGAGGAGCTACTGCTTTTACTTTCGTTTTGTCATTTGCGTATTAATGTATTAAAGTGGTTTAAACGTTTGCCGGTTCCCGGTTTTTGTGCTTTTATCCACCTCTAAATAGCTATAAATTAAGCTTATGTCGTTTTAGTTTCATATTGTTAATTGTTAGTTTCATAGGTTGTTAAACCTTAGACGAACTCTTCATATAGCGCAACCACCGTCAGTAATAGTCAACAACACTGACAGTAATGCAGCGCGCATTACTGTCAGTGTTGTTGACTATTACTGACGGTGGTTGCGCTGTTGACGCTCGCGCAGCCTCTCGAGCAGAAATCTACACTAAGCGCACACACACACTCAGTTAACAACATTACACAGCCTATAAAAAATCTAAATGTGGAGTTTTTATATTTTTAACATATGTTAAGCAACCTCAATTATTTTTCCTGAACACCATCACGATTGAAAATGTGACATTAATTTCCAACAACAGTTCAATAAACAGTTAAAATTAAGTCACTTACATTTTAGATGCAATATTGGCTGTTTTTGTTCTGTTTCAGCAGCGAAAATAGTTCCAAACAAAAATCACAGCAGAACCACGGGGCATCTCACAGGAACACTCAACCTGTTTTCATTACTGAATGATTCAGCATTTTGAACGAATCGATTGAGTCAAAGATTCAATGACCCATTCATAAACATCTGTCTCAATCTTGAATGAATCAGCCGTTTGAACAAATCGTTTGAGTCATGAATGAATCAATGATTCACTCATTAAGACGGTCGCCTGCCGCCACCTACTGGCGGTTTGTGTTATGTTTAAGTAGATCATTCTCTCCAACGTTTCTAATTTGTAAATTTAAATCTATTTCATGACATTATTTTATGCAATTGTAATTTTTCAGTGTAAATGATTTAATTTGATCAGCCCTATAGTGTCTTATTATTCGAAATAATTAAATTTATTGATCAAATTTAGGAATTTAAAATGAAAGATGAAGCATACATTTAATAATATTGGGGGAGGAGATGCCCTTTAAAGGTGCAAATATTACAATATGCCGATTTATATATCAAAGCTAATTGAACACTGATGAGAATATTGTTTCAGAATAAATAAAAAAAATAAAAAATCGGACGAGAAACTTTTTTGACAAGCGTATGAAAGGCTTAATGTCGAGCCCTGCCTATAGCAATGTCATCAGGATACACATACACCGGTAGGCAGTGGCCCACCTTACCGGGTGACCATGTCGTGGTCCACCAGAATTGATAGTTTACCCACCTCTTTTTTTACCACTAAACCTCTGAATAAAACGTACGAGTCCCAGTAACGCCGAACCTCTCTTCTTCCTTCCAAACAATGAACCTCATTACAATGGCCCTTAAAGAATGTTAAAAAATTGTAAATGGCCCTTGATAGGAAAAAGGTTCCCCACCCCTGTCATAAAGGAAAATAATATGATTCCCATCTTTCAAAAAATGAATATTTGATTAAACTTGAAGAGTCGTAGACCTGAAGTGTCGGCTGATGTGTGTCAGGTGGACCTGAACGAGGAGGAGACGATCCTGATCATCCGGCGCCTGCATAAAGTGCTCCGGCCGTTCCTGCTGCGAAGACTGAAGAAAGAAGTCGAGGCGCAGCTGCCGGAGAAGGTGAGAGTGCCGTGCGATGCAGACTTCAGTCAGTGTGTGTGTGTGTGTGTGTGTGTGTCAAGATGTTTCCATCTGCAGAATTTTATGAAAATATTGGGTTATCGCATAAAAGAAATGCTGGAAGGAAACTAGGGCTCGCATCCAAAATAAAGTTTGTAATTACGTAATATATATGTGTGTGTGTGTGTGTACTGTGTATAATTATTTTGTATATATAAATGCACACACATGCATGCATGCATATATTTAAGAAATATTTGAATGTATATACTTTATATATATTTATATATCATTTATATTATATAATATAACATATTTACTTTTATATTATATACTGCCAAAACCATTTTAGTTATATGTAAATAACACATTTTTCGTAACTTAAAGGTGAACTAAGTAACTTTTTTACCTTAACCGAACAGCTTTGGAGTCATTGTGATGTTTATATTACTGATTTCGTGTTGAATGCTGGTCGTCTCGCACCCCCCTGGTGCCTGTGAGCCGCAAAACCACCCTTGCAACTTTGGGCCGCCGGCCTCAGTGTTAGGAAGTATCGTGTGATATCAGGTCTCGCGAGGTAAGGAATTGCTTTACGGCAAAAAATAGATCTGATAAAATGAGCATCAAACCGAAATAACCCGGCGCCGTATACATGTGGTGTTGGGCGCGCGCAGCTCTTAAAGGGGCCACACCTTATTTCCACTCGTTACAGCGTCCATCCTCCTGAACAGGTACTGGTGTACAGGGGGAGGGGATCCGGCCGTGAGTGCGAGCCATCTCTGCGTGAGTGCTATTCACGACAGTACAAGTACTCCACAGCGACTCTAGGGGTGACGCTCGACACACACTCGCTTATGATGACGCTCGACACACACTCGTTTATGATGACGCTCGACACACACTCGTTTATGATGACGCTCGACACACACTCGCTTATGATGACGCTCGACACACACTCGCTTATGATGACGCTCGACACACACTCGCTTATGATGACGCTCGACACACACTCGTTTATGATGACGCTCGACACACACTCGCTTATGATGACGCTCGACACACACTCGCTTATGATGACGCTCGACACACACTCGCTTATGATGACGCTCGACACACACTCGCTTATGATGACGCTCGACACACACTCGCTTATGATGACGCTCGACACACACTCGCTTATGATGACGCTCGACACACACTCGCTTATGATGACGCTCGACACACACTCGTTTATGATGACGCTCGACACACACTCGCTTATGATGACGCTCGACACACACTCGCTTATGATGACGCTCGACACACACTCGTTTATGATGACGCTCGACACACACTCGTTTATGATGACGCTCGACACACACTCGTTTATGATGACGCTCGACACACACTCGCTTATGATGACGCTCGACACACACTCGCTTATGATGACGCTCGACACACACTCGCTTATGATGACGCTCGACACACACTCGCTTATGATGACGCTCGACACACACTCGCTTATGATGACGCTCGACACACACTCGCTTATGATGACGCTCGACACACACTCGCTTATGATGACGCTCGACACACACTCGCTTATGATGACGCTCGACACACACTCGCTTATGATGACGCTCGACACACACTCGTTTATGGTGGAGGGAGAAAAAGAAAGATTGCAGAAACTTAGTTTTATTAATGATAATTTGCGCCAATTTGTTGTGCTGATTTCGTTCTCTTGAACACATGGGATGGAAACGCTGCTTTGTTCGCACGTTTTATGCGATATTTCAATTTTACGCACAAGTTAAATTCACAGCTTTGGATGGAAACACAGCTCGAGTCTCAAGCATTTGTGGCGTTTTCTGTCCATGTGCAGGTGGAGTACGTGATCAAGTGTGACATGTCGGCTCTCCAGAGGGTTTTGTACCGACACATGCAGGCCAAAGGAGTTCTGCTAACCGACGGCTCCGAGAAGGACAAGAAGGTGAGGAAGAGTGTGTATAACAGAAACACCTCACCTCTTCAGTGCTGGAAATCACCTGCAGACAGATGTGTGTTGTTGAACATTGTGTGTGTTTCAGGGTAAAGGCGGCACTAAGACTCTGATGAACACCATTATGCAGCTGAGGAAGATCTGTAATCATCCCTACATGTTCCAGCAAATTGAGGTGCGTTAAACACTTTCCCCGTGTGTAAGTGCTATAATCGGTGCGTCTACCAACCCTGAAAACGTGAAAAGTGAAACCCAGTAACTTTGTTCTGGTGAGGCTTTCTCTGTAAGTATGCCAAAAAATAAGCCGATCAGATTTCGCTCCTTCTGCCGTATGAAGAGGATCTTATTATAATATTCCCGGCCCTTAATCTGCACGTTCACACACACCAGCGACATTGGGTTCGGCGAGCGCCAACAGAGACCAGTTCTAACGCACTGGAGAAGATCCAGCAAAGCCTGAAACTGTTCTGTGGTCGAGCACAGACGACACTGAACACTATTGACCAGAACATGTCAGCGCTGTCTTATAAACACCTCAGGAACTGTGGACACTTGTGGAAGAGTTCAACATGATGAGGAGATGATCAGTGTAACTCCACAACAACTACAGAAATGTCTCCGCTAACATTCAGAAACGTGTAAAAGTGAAGCTCTCCCTGAGTCTCTCCGTAAGGCTGCACTCGCTGCTGTTACTCCTGACTCTGGATCAGTGAGATCAGCCTGTGTTGTTATTGCCGGAGTCTCTGAAGCTCCGCCCTCTTCTGAACGGAGGCGGAGCTAAAGCTCATTTGCATTTAAAGGGACACACACACAAAACGGCGCGTTTTTTTGCTCACACCCAAAAAGGGGCAAATTTAACAAGCTAGAATAAATGATCTGGTATTTTGAGCTGAAATTTCACACACACATTCTGGGGACACCATAGATTAATATTACATCTTGTGAAAAGGGGACTAATATGTCGCCTTTAATGCGTTTCTGCTCACACCCAAAAAGTGTCCATTTTAACATCCTATAATAAATGATCTGGTATTTTGAGCTGAAATTTCATTCTGGGACACAAATAGATTTATATGCTCAATATGTCGCCTGTAATGTGTCTGTCTCAGTGTGTTGATCATCCGGTTTGTGAGGCTTTTCTTGCAGTGCTGAATGTGCTGCTTTTGCAGGAGTCGTTTTCGGAGCATCTGGGCTTCTCTGGCGGGATAGTTCAAGGGTGAGCGCAAACACAGTGTGACACGTTAGACGTCGCCAGGCCTGAGCCTTTAAATGACCTTTATTTAACGTCTGACCTGCAGGGCTGACCTGTACCGGGCCTCAGGGAAGTTTGAGGTGCTGGATCGTATTTTGCCCAAGTTACGGGCGTCCAATCACAAAGTGCTTCTCTTCTGCCAAATGACGTCACTGATGACCATAATGGAGGATTATTTTGCGTACCGCAGCTTTAAATATCTTCGTCTGGATGGTGAGTCTGTGTTTCTCGTTTTCTTTGGTTTGTGGTGTTTGTAGAGCATGATTATTATTATTAAAGCTCATGCTGATCTGGACGAACCCAACCGTACCTCGTTTTTGACCTGCTGAAGGGCCATTTGGACTCCAGGAGATCACATGATTTCCGTGATGCGGAAAACGTGGATGGAATTGTGGAATCCAGTCATAAAGAATTTAATTTACCATACAACTCAGAATGTCATGAACATAATCAAATCTGTAAATTTAATGTCTGTAAATATTAATCTGCCAAAATCATTTTAAGCATGAAGATATGATCCTCCTCGTGTTTTCTGCGTGTGCCGGAGGACATGAACACACGAACTTCATCTCCAGAGCTGCTCTGAGACTCACTTCAACAGCATTTCACCACTTCATTTAAGAAAAACGGTCATCATTTCACACACAGAAACGACAACCCGCCAAAATAAAAGTTCGGTTTAGCTTGAAAAAATTGTGACAGAAGTATATTACTGCTGACTGTATATGTACCTCTAATAATAAGAAGAAGATTATAAAACTTTAATTTTTAAGGAGTATTTTAACAATATTTCTGCCATCAAATAAAACATTCCATAGAAAACGTGGAATTTGGGAAAAATAAAACTGTAAAAATGTAGTTCATAAGGCCCTAAAATGTCATTTTTGTCAAGTGTTTAATAAATCGCTGTTGAAATTGTATTGATTTCAATTAATTAGGCAAGCTTTTTGATTACTAAAATTTAATTTAAAGGTACAGTATGTAAGAATTTTGTAATAAAATATCCAAAAATCACTTGCACAGTGTGATATACACTCACCGGCCACTTTATTAGGTACACCTGTCCAACTGCTCGTTAACACTTAATTTCTAAGCAGCCAATCACATGGCGGCAACTCAGTGCATTTAGGCATGTAGACATGGTCAAGACAATCTCCTGCAGTTCAAACCAAGCATCAGTATGGGGAAGAAAGTTGATTTGAGTGACTTTGAACGTGGCAGGATTGTTGGTGCCAGAAGGGCTGGTCTGAGTATTTCAGAAACTGCTAATCTACTGGGATTTTCACGCACAACCATCTCTAGGGTTTACAGAGAATGGTCCGAAAAAGAAAAAACATCCAGTGAGCGGCAGTTCTGTGGGCGGAAATGCCTTGTTGATGCCAGAGGTCAGAGGAGAATGGCCAGACTGGTTCGAGCTGATAGAAGGGCAACAGTGACTGAAATAACCACTCGTTACAACCGAGGTATGCAGCAAAGCATTTGTGAAGCCACAACACGCACAACCTTGAGGCGGATGGGCTACAACAGCAGAAGACTCCACCGGGTACCACTCATCTCCACTACAAATAGGAAAAAGAGGCTACAATTTGCAAGAGCTCACCAAAATTGAACAGTTGAAGACTGGAAAAATGTTGCCTGGTCTGATGAGTCTCGATTTCTGTTGAGACATTCAGATGTTAGAGTCAGAATTTGGCGTAAACAGAATGAGAACATGGAACCATCATGCCTTGTTACCACTGTGCAGGCTGGGGGTGGTGGTGTAATGGTGTGGGGGATGTTTTCCTGGCACACTTTAGGCCCCTTAGTGCCAATTGGGCATCGTTTAAATGCCACGGCCTACCTGAGCATTGTTTCTGACCATGTCCATCCCTTTATGGCCACCATGTACCCATCCTCTGATGGCTACTTCCACCATGTCACAAAGCTCTAATCATTTCAAATTGGTTTCTTGAACATGACAATGAGTTCACTGTACTAAAATGGCCTCCACAGTCACCAGATCTCAACCCAATAGAGCATCTTTGGGATGTGGTGGAACGGGAGATTCGCATCATGGATGTGCAGCCGACAAATCTGCGGCAACTGTGTGATGCCATCATGTCAATATGGACCAAACTCCCTGAGGAATGCTTCCAGCACCTTGTTGAATCTATGCCACGAAGAATTGAGGCAGTTCTGAAGGCAAAAGGGGGTCCAACCCGTTACTAGCATGGGGTACCTAATAAAGTGGCCGGTGAGTGTATTTCCTGCAGTTGTGTACTTACAATATCCCAAAAGTCTCCAAAGATTTTTTATTTCAGAGAAATTCCAATTTTAAATAAGTGGCCGTCCCGGAAAAAAATGTCGCCTGTCAATGACGCAATATCCGCGCTATCCTCGGTTTCCGCTCGTACTGCCATAGCCATGACATAACCATGGCGACAGACGTGGACAACTGCGTAGTGCGTAACGTTTAGCGGCACGCAGTTCTTGTTTCTTTCAAACATAGACCATGGCAAGCAGACTTTGGGACAAACAAGGAGAACTAAAATGAGGATCAACATCAGCGTGGCGTTTTTGAGATGCCGAGAGCTAGCGTCCGCGACTAACTTGGACTCGACAGAGCTTCACGAGTCACGACAGCTTTATTAGACAGGTGAGCAAATGTACATAAAACTAATCAATGTTATATAACGTTAGCTCAACATGATGAAATGTTAGAATATGGTCAGTATGTTATTCTAATGTTGATCTAGCTTACTGCTAGTTTCGTATAGCAAACGAACTAACGCATAGTGTAACATTATAACTTTCAACACACATTTAAATGCCGTTTAGTGTGATAGTGTAACGTTAGACCGAATGAAGCAGCGCTGCGTTCCCTCACAAGTTTAATTCGTCTAATAAACTGACCTGTGTGAGTAATCCAGCACTTGCGGGTTTAGTAGGATTAAATGCCCTCATTCCTTTATATCCGCGGGACTCGCGTGTGATATCTGTCTCTTTAGCAATCGCGACCTGCTTCATACCACTGTAATGTTAAAAAACATGAATGTTAGCATCCATAAACATTATTAGATCCATCAGCTTGACAGCAAGTCCCATCATTCAGCTCATCACTGCGTCATCAACCTACGCCTTTGTTATTGTTGGAAACTGCGCCCTCTTGTGGCGAAAAAAAACCTACATATTGTGCCTTTAAGTCCAGAAAAATGAAAACAGAAGGAATTTGAATTTTTTTTAATGAATGGCCCTAATAGCATTAAAGGTGCAAAACGCAAGTCTCTGAGTTTTTGCAGAACTACGCCCCCTCTGGCGACAAGCGAAACTGAAACCAGAGTTGTGCACGCTCATGGACCATTCACGGGAACAATTTACTATTTTTACCGAAAAAGACAATATAGCCAATGCAACGGCGTTCTTCCTTGTTGGTCAATGACATGAACACCTTAGCATGTTAGCAATGAACACAAGGCTAACGTTACCGGTAAGTTAAGTCATACACAAAAACATAGTTAGCATCTTTTATTGGATATGTTTTATGTATCATGTTGTACTATTCTTCCGAACACAATTCCTAGTTTATGAAACTGTTCACTAACAATGGTAGTAAAACCAATTCTGATTGTACATGTATCTAGCTTACGCTAAAGCATTACACATTTTACGCATCGTCATTTGTTGTCCTACATAGGTTGGCCGTATCAAACATTAGAGACTGGGCTATATCTTACCGTTTTATCAAGAAAATAGCCAACTGAGGATCCCGTTTGAGCCCTGGAGCAGACCGGAGATCTCTCCATTTGTTGAATGCCTTCCCTAGTTTGACTCTCGTCTTACTCCGACGCCTGTCTGACTCCAATTTGGATCTTTTGGTGGCACTAGACAAAATTTTTCTATTCTTTACTTTACGTGGAGTTTGCGTTGGGGTTTGGAATGGACTACAAGCCGGTCTCTTTGAATCCATCTTCTACCTTTGACGCACGAGTTGTCTTCGCTGATGCGGAGAATGGCGGCGCCGGCGAATACACAAGCCTGCGAGACATAGCCTGGTGAGCGTGAACGCGCATGACGTCACGCCCAGTCTCAAATTCGAGCCCGAATCCCTCTTATATATTTTACTGTACAGGATTATAGAGGCAATCTCAGTGCGCAGAGAAGGGCTCATTCAGCCCATCAGGCAGTTCTTTAAGCATGTATAGGATAGAAGAACAGGTATTTTTAACATGAAAAGTTGCGCAATGCACCATTAAACATGTGGAATCGTGGGAAATGGTCAGGCCAACTCTGCTCTCATCTCAAGGATCGCTTATGTTTTCTTCAGAACTGCCCGAGACACAAGCCGACTCGGCCCACATGTTGTGGTTATGCCCACATATTCAGCCTTTTTGGGTAAGGGTGGGACAATTAATGTCCAGAATATTAGGTTTTAACATAGACGTGTCATTTCCCTCGGGGTTTCTCCGGAGAGTTTGGGTAAAAGTGATATTTACCTCTTAAAGATGTTTCTGGCCGTCTGCAAGAAAGCGGTCACTAAATGTCGGCTCCAGAGAAACGTCCGTGATGGCGATCTGTTTTCATGCATTGACAGTCGAACATGCTCCATGGAAATGACCCTCTCCCTTCGGTCACAGAAGGACAGAGCGGGAAGTACTCGAGGAAATGGGATCGTTACAAACAAAAAAAACAATAATTAGTAGACTTTTAGAACTGCACCACGATTTCTACTCGTGTCACATAGTTGCTGACTCCTTGTAGGACAACATGTAACAGTTATCAGTAATGATTGTGTTCTTGTTGTTATTTTTTATTATATATTTATTTTTTCTATTCTTTTTTTTTCTTTACTTTTTTCCGTCCTTGATGTGTACAAAAAAAGGAAAAACTGTTTAAAAAATATTTTTTTAACTTTTTTAACGTTTAAAGAACTGACAGAGACAGAAATTAGATTTTTACATTTTTCATGTAACAGTTATTGTGAATGGTTGTTCTTAAAAAAAATGTTTACTTCTTTTTTTCTATTCATTTTTTTCCTCCTAGATGTATACAAAAAGGGAAAAACTGTTTAAAAAATAAAAGTTTTTAACTTTTTCAACGTTTTTAGAACTGACCGAGACGGAAATGAGATTTGTCTCCTCAGAGTTGAGTGTGTGTGTGTGTGTGTGTGTGTGTGTGTGTGTGTGTGTGTGTGTGTGTGTGTGTGTGTGTGTGTGTGTGTGTTCTAGGCACGACCAAAGCAGAGGATCGTGGGATGCTGCTGAAGACCTTCAATGATCCGGCGTCTCAGTACTTCATATTCCTGTTGAGCACCAGAGCCGGAGGACTGGGACTCAATCTACAGAGCGCCGATACCGTCATCATATTCGACAGCGACTGGAACCCGCATCAGGTACAGCACATGCACACAGCATCATCTTCATCTTCATCTTCATCAGTCATCGTACAGAACTCATGTTTGTTCCAGGGTTCGTACAACGATTCCCCTTTGAATTCAAGCCACTACAAGACGAGGACGACACGTTTATTCACAAAGATAGCTTTATAGGCAGACGTGTGTGTGTGTGTGTGTGTGTGTGTGTGCGTGTGTGCGCTCGCTCACAGCTTTATATTGAGGTGGGAACTTTATATTTATCTTTGTAAAGAAAAGAAATTGCACGAACACAGAAACATTCAGGATCTGGGTTTCAACTTCTGCCCGTGACCTCTGACCTCTGACCGTGACGTTTATAAATAAAACAGCTTTGCTACTGAAAGCTACGTTATATATTTTTTTCAGGTCAATCATATATTCATGGAAATAAATCAGTTTGAATAAGGAAAGCTTTGTCATAGTATCCTTTCAATGGTTACAGTTTCATTGCATCCGCTGCAGTTTATTAGTACTATTTTGTTTGATTAGTTTATTTTTATTCTTTTTTTAGAATTTAAAAGATAATAAAGATATTATTTGATAAGTGAGATCTCAGTCCTTGAAAACCAAGAAAGTAGTGCTTGAAAGTCCTGGAATTTAATTTTCCAGTGTGTGTGTGTGTGTGTGTGTGTGTGAACCACTGTGTGTTTTCTGTGTGCAGGACCTCCAGGCGCAGGATCGAGCCCATCGCATCGGACAGCAGAACGAGGTGCGCGTTCTGCGTCTCTGTACCGTCAACAGTGTCGAAGAAAAGATCCTAGCGGCCGCTAAATACAAGCTGAATGTCGACCAGAAGGTGATCCAGGCCGGCATGTTCGACCAGAAGTCGTCGAGTCATGAGCGCCGAGCGTTTCTGCAGGCCATTCTGGAGCACGAGGAGCAGGACGAGGTCAGGAGTATCACTCCTTCTGCGTATAGTAGGCGACAAACAGTATGTGAGCCGAGTAGTATATCCAAATTCATAGTATTCATAAAACAGTTGGCGAAATGTATCCAGATAACCTAATGCTTCTGAAGTGCGCATACTTTACTGTCCCATGAGGTTTTGTTAATGCTAGTGATGCCGTAGGTCACATGACAGTGACAACATGGCCAATTTAATCTTACAAAATACTATATAGAATATTCTTGTAACAGTTGCGAAGCAAGTTTCACATTAATTGTAGTATCCTTTGTAGTATGTGATTTCGGCACATCATCTGTGCATGAGAATATTGCAATGTTTCATTAATTAATGATTCATTAAACTACTACATTCAGAGGCCTGTTGTGTGCATATATACAATAACATATTTTTATAATGTTAAAGTGCCCCTATAATGCTATTTTAACGGTTGTTAATGTTGTTTTGGCGTCTCCTACAGTAGGTTTACATGCATCAAAGATCAGAAAACACTTTAGTTTCCTCATAATCATCTGGGGTCTCATTTATAAAACTGTGCGTAGGATCCTTACTAAAAGTGTACGTGCGCCCGAAAGACAAAAATGGCGTACGCAAACAAATATTCAGACTTATAAAACCGTGCGTACGTCAGAACCTGCGCAGAATTCACTTTATAAATCTCAGTCAGCGGAAGATTGTGCGCACATGCGTCTCCTCCCCGAAATAACCATATATGAGCTTACAACGCCTAGTTTTACTATGCATATCCTCATCTGCATATCATTTGCATATGATTATTCATCCACGTGATACCATGTTTAACGGTACAAGACATTTGGAAAATATGAAATACGGATGTGCCGTCACATTAGTTAGGCTACATTAATAAAAAAAAAAATTTAGTAGCCTATATCCTTGCCTTGTTTTTGAATAAATAAATCAAATAGTGTAAAATACATTTCAGAGAAAGTTTTTCTCAATCTTTTCCACTGGCCAAAGAGTATTTTTAATTGATTTATATTTTTAATGGAAACAGATAGACCTTGTAGTGCATTATTTGCACAAAACTATTTTCTCAGACAATTTGCTATTATCATGATAAGCAATTATCTCTGTAGTTAACACATTAAAACACAGACAGCATGCCAGAGGAAAAGTGTTTGAAAGCATTGCATCCACAACAAATATTTCTATTTATTGAATATAAAACAATGTTGTAACTTCTCAGTAATGATTTCATGTAATTTAAGTGTCTAACATTAATGAGAATGGCATATTTAATCTAAATGTTTATATCAGAAGTAAAACATAGTTTTAATTATTTAAACTGTTATTGTGAACATATTTCACAGAACACTGTATTTATGATTATAATGAAGATTTACGGTTTTAGATAGGCTGCGTCAGTTTCACTAAGAACAAAGGGATGGACATTTAAAAAGGGATGGATGTTTGCTTCATGTGATAGGCTTGGTGAGTGAAATTATATTTGTATTATCTTTCTGTATATGTATGTATAATTTTCTTTAGATTTTCGGTCTAAAAGTGACCAAAAAGACATGTAGCTCCAGCTCACCATGGGTGTCGCCAAACTGCTCCGTCTCCAAAATGTGCGTACGCACGGCTCAAAGTTTGCTTAAAGGCGCGCACATTCTCCCGTCAAGTTTGTTTTTTATAGATCACAACCTTTGCGTACAAACTGGCGTACGTACGTTTCCAGCCCCGTTTTGTGCGTACGCACGCTTTATAAATGAGACCCCTGCTCTTTTCTCTCAGTGTCTGAAACGCTTCGATCGAAGATTCAGTCTCTCTAAGCTCCGCCTCTCTGAGAGCTGCTCTGCTCTGATTGGTCAGAAAGCAAACGCTCATTATCATATCTGAATCTCAGCTCTTGATCACAGTGATACGAACAGTAGCGATGGCGTGGGTTTCACCGTATCAATCTCAAACAGCGTCTTCTCGACACGAACAACACGAGCCGAACTCTCCCAGTCTCAGATACACTACAGTGATTGAGGGCGGGGCTAAGAGACGCTGTTCAGCCAATCAAGAGCATTATGCAAATGAGTTTCAAGGATCAGCAGGAAGTGAGACTGGAATAACTGACGACTCGTTTCACTTCAGAATCGCCAAAAACTCAATTTATCTGCACTGTGATCTTTGAAACTTTGCAGAGCTTTTACACTCACACACAGGTTTATTACACACTACATGAAAGGTCACATCCGAAAGCGCATAATAAGGGCACTTTATTATAAATCTACAGGATTCAGTCAGAGAATGTTGTTTGTTCAGAATATGCAGATTAACATGAATTTCCCAAAAGCATCTAAACCTTGTTTTCAGGACGTGTTCATGATTCTTTTCGTTATTTTCTGTACTTTCTTTAATTTCTGAAGCTCTGTTCCCGTGTCTCTGTCAGGAAGAAGATGAAGTGCCGGACGATGAGACCGTAAATCAGATGATCGCTCGGAGCGAAGACGAGTTTGACCAGTTCATGGTCTCGTTTCATTTCCTCTCTCTCACATTTACAGAGTCGATGTCACTCGCCGAATCCCAGAGTCCTGAGCGAGTCCGAATGACCTCGTGTTGTGTGTGTGTGTGTGTGTGTGCAGCGCATGGATCTGGACCGCCGGCGCGAGGAGGCTCGTAACCCGAAGCGGAAGCCTCGTCTCATGGAGGAGGACGAGCTGCCCACGTGGATCATGAAAGATGATGCCGAGGTGGAAAGGCTGACCTGTGAGGAAGAGGAGGAGAAGATGTTCGGCCGCGGGTCCCGGCAGAGGAAAGAGGTCGACTACAGCGACTCGCTCACGGAGAAACAGTGGCTGAAGGTCAGAGAGAGAGAGAGAGAGAGATACACACTAGTGCTGGGCAACGATTCATCACATCCAGAATAAAAGTTTGTGTTTACATTAATATATGCATGTGTGCTGTGTATAATTATTTTGTATATATAAATACACACACATGCATGCATATATTTAAGAAGAATGTGTTATATATATATATAAAATATTTATATTTAGTATATATAAGATAAATTATGTATAAATATATATATATATATGCAAATATTTCTTAAATATATACATACATACAGATGAAACTCGAAAAATTTGAATAATGTGCAAAAGTTCAGTAATTCAACTTAAAATGTGAAACTAATATATTATATAGACTCATTACATGCAAAGTGAGATATTTCAAGCCTTTATTTGTTATAATGTTGATGATTATGGCTTACAGCTTATGAAAACCTTTTCACAATATTCTAATTTTGAATTTGGGGTTTTCATAAGCTGTAAGCCATAATCATCAGAATTATAACAAATAAAGGCTTGAAATATCTCACTTTGCATGTAATGAGTCTATATATTAGTTTCACATTTTAAGTTGAATTACTGAAATAAATGAACTTTTGCACGATATTCAAATTTTTCGAGTTTCAACTGTATGTGTGTATTATTTATATATACAAAATAATTATACAGATTACACACACATTTATTATGTATTGTAAACACAAACTGTTATTTTGGATGTGATGAATCGTTGCCCTGCACTAAGGCTGCGTTTACACTGGCACAAATATCCGATCTTTAACTCACTTCTGACACGGATCGGAGTTTGTTGCACACGTGTAAACACAAAAATCTGCACAAGATCTGATTTTTTCACATACCGTACGATCTGAGCCACTTTTTTATTTAATTCAGATTCATATCCGATATC